AATAATATCCAGTACTGTTTTATGATAGCCATCTATTGACACTTTCTTTGCTTTTACTCCCGGGGCTGAGTTGCGTAAATTTCAACTTGTCAATTTGATTTTTTTTCTATGTTTGAGTGGCAATTCCCGGTTTCCCTAGTCTAGATAAAATCTTCAACCAACTGATCAGTTTCCTGAAAAATGATACCCTATTCTAGACCCAAATGCTCTGATTTATATACCATATCCTAGAGTAAACTGCTTGAAAAACCATACCCTTCACAGTGGCACATACCTATCTAGCCCATATATGGCAACACCCCCCCCCTCCCCCCGGCCTCACTCAACTGATAATCATAGTACATATCAAACTCAATTCTCTTTAATCATCTTTAGATCATGTAACAAAAAAAGAGGTAGTCTTTAAGAAGGGAAATATGAAATTTTTTCCTTTACCAGATATTTTTGAATGAGCTCTGATCCAACAACTCGAAGAAAGGTTGCTGCAGTTTGATTGGCTACAGCTTTTGCAAGCAAGGTTTTTCCTACAATAATGAAAAAAACAAAGATTCAGTGAGTAAAAAAAAAATGTGATGAAGTAAGAACAATGGCTCTACATGAACATTCCAAACTTGTATATTCATCAATATTGATCTTCTGCAAAACAGCATTTTGAAATTTACAGTTTGCTTTCTCAGTTTCCCGAAAAAGGAAGCTGTGATGCATTTAGAGAAAATTTTAAGCTTATTTTATGGTTAACAAAACTACAAACCATATGGTTCATGTTGTGGGAACCACACTGGGGAATTACTTCTTAACATTCATTCTGGCCCACATCATGAACCACATCTGTCTATCTCAGCATAATAACTTTCCTGCCTCGGAAACTAAAGCTACCCTTACATTAACATTTACTTGTATCCTGTAACTCACCTGTACCAGGTGGGCCATACAATATTACACCCTTAGGTGGTTTAATCCCCATTTCCTCATACAGCTCTGGGTGAGTCAATGGAAGTTCCACGGATTCCTTAGAAAACATGACATAACAAGTTCATTATGAGAACACTGTTCCTTTTAATGCTGTGACTACACTGTTTCTGTTAAATGGCAGTCCAATTTCAAACCAGTCCAAAACAAGTAAACTGCTTTGCAACATTCATTTTACACTGCAAGCACAAGTGGCCTTGAAAACAACATTGCACCACTTTTAACCTTTCACCTTTAAGACCATAGGTTGACAATATAACAAACTCTTGCAAGAATATACATACATGAGTGATCTCTTGTGAAAATAAAAAGCCAGGGCCCACTCACATTATAGAGATCTACACTTTTGTAACCGAAATCAGCAAGAGAGTAAGATATAAATGAGTAACCTTGATTTCCTGTATCTGTTGATCCAGTCCACCAATGTCAGCATATGACTCTTGTGGAGCTTTCTCAAGTTTCATCACAGTCACCATGGGATCTGCATCATCAGACAGCACACCAACAACAGCATGCACCTGAGAAAAAATGACATTTCCATAACTCTCACGTCACAACTGCAATCTTTCACGACAATTTAAAGCATAACAACAGACAAATGAAGTGCTCTGGGCAGAGGTTAGAGATATTATTTTGGTCAATTTGCTAGCTGCTTCTCCAAGTTAACAACCTTTAAGGTGATACCTTAGTATTGTACTGTGCATCCTGTTCTGTTCATACAAATCACGCAATCGGCCAAAAAAGCATGTGCATTCCAAGAGCACAATATTTTTTTTTCAATCAATGGATAAGGTAAAGAGTCTTTAAGGTAAAGTCTTTAGCTCTAAAACAAGAATGGTGAGCTACATTTTTTGGTGTAGAATTAGGTGTACAAATTAAAAAGAAATTCATAGAAGGGAAAAAGAGATTTAGCTAAAAGTATGCACTAAGCCTGTTACTCAAGGATGCAAATTATAACTTCAGAAGCAAAGACTCAGGGAATTTTTTCCCAAATTATACATCAAAATGTTCCATATGCTCCAGACATTCTACCTATAAAGTTTTTTTTCCAAGTGTTACTTAAAAAACCCTTGCTTTTACGTACTGCAAAATGTATCGTGAACTGATGAAATGCCGTGCATGATTAGCACAAAATACAGGCGTTATACTTTTTTATTGTATTTTTGAAGCAGACATTGATAGGAACTGAATTCTTTTTCTGTGGAATCACCTTGAGGCATACAACTTTCAAGATTCTTCTTTACTTGGCAACAGCCACTTGATTTTTTTCACAATATATACACTCCCCTCACAAACATGAAAATTGAATAGTTTTTACATTTTTCTTGAAAATTTCAATTCATTGTGATGCTCAATGAAATTTTGTCACATGCAACAGGTGAAATCACAGTTAAAACTCGCTTATCTTGATACACAAAAAAATAGCCTTGCAATGATATAAGAGTGCTTTCAATTGGTCACAATACCTAAAGGACTTAGATTGCTAAAATAATTACCTTATGATTCAACAATACAGTACAGCCAGGTTCCAGCATGTCTTTATCGACAAATGACAAGATGCTAACATAATGCTCTGAACCAACAGAAGTGGATACAATAGCATGGTTGTCATCAATGATCTCCTCTAAAGTGCCAACTGACATGGGAGTCCCCCGTAATTCGTCAACCCTTGACCTCTCTTCCTATAATTACATGTATGGTATGAATGACATTTCAACAGTTTTTCCTCTTTTGATAGATAAATTAACTGAAGAAATACACTGTATAATTAGGCTGATACAGAAATGCAAGTTGATGGTTGAGAGATGCACTGTACAAAGAGACATGTCATGGAGAAAATAAAACAGAGAACTATTTGAAAATCTGTCTCTTTGATCAATTGTCTGTGCAATCAGTGACCAGAATTCACTCAATGATTATAGTAAAATCCTGATAACTCAAACCCTAGCCAACTCAAACCAAAATTGATTTGCCCTGGATTTCTGTCGTACATTTATTGCAATTTTACCTTTGGTAACTTGAACCCTTAAAGACTCAAGCCTCCCTCTAACTCAAAGAAAGATTTTTTCCCCTTTACCCCATTTGTTATATATTTTTCCCTCAGTAACCCAAATTACATCCATAAGAACATGACAAAAAAAAAAAACAGTGTACTGCAGTCCAAAACATTTAGGTTACATAGTGATTTCTTCAGTAATATACTGTTCCATTTTCACTCAACTTCGCTTTCATTAAAATGTACACTGTATGGATAGAAAAAAACATTAAACACCCTGTTTCCCTCCTTTCTGCTCCTTTTGTTTTGAACTCCTGATAACTCGACATCCTGATAACCTGCACATTTTTCTATTTCCCTTGAAGATTTGAGTTCTAGGGATTTGACTGTATGTTACAGAGACATATTCACAAAGCATTTCAATATCATGTCAGGCAAATTATCACTGCAACTTGCTCCTTAACCATTTGATCCCTAAGAGTAACAAACATCTAATTTCTCCTAATTAATTATAATACTGTATCCCTTACTAAAAAAGGACATGAGAATAAAGGAAACAATCATCAACTAAAGAGGCTCTTGATTGTTTGACAAATCCCTCTTGTTGGCTCCAAATGAATTGAGAACAATATGAAGAATACGTACTCTGATGTTAGGATATAAAGGGTCAACATGTTGCTC